GGAGAGTCAGGCTCATATGTACAAAGGAAGACCCAGAAATAAAGGGATTGGGAAGATACTGGATTCCTCCTGTCAGAAGCTGCTCTTAGCAGAGGAACACAAATTTCCTTAAAATGAAAATGCTCTTTGCTGAGCTTGACAAATAGCACAGTGTCAACAGCACTCATGTGCTGTTCTGAGCTGCATCTCTTCTCCTGCAGGCAGCAGCTGTTTGCCCCCAGATCCAGTAAATGTTTTCTTCTGAGGCTGATAAATGAAAGAGCTGCACGTTGGTGTTACCCAGAATGGGCTTTGTGTGGTAAAGATGTTCAGCTGAGCAAGGTTCTTTGGCATGCTTCTCATGTCTGCAGCTGCTTCCATGTGTCCCTATATGCATTCCTGGGGTCTGAGAAATGGTTTCAGGGTTCTGTTTCTAAAAGCACATGAATGAGAAGGGCTGTGATACAGGAATAGCCTTTTACTTCAGCTCCCAAAATCGTGAGGAGGCGAGTTCAGTAGTACAGTCCATGGCACTGAATTGTTTGTTTCCTTGAGTTTGGGATTTCTTTGTGCTACAGGCTGACAGCAGCCTGCAGTTCTGAGGGTGAGCTGGAGGAAATGCCTCCACATGCTGGTATGTCCAGCTCTTAGAGCTCTTCTGTGATGGTTGACAAGTAATGTTTTATTTCTGAGAATGAAATATGTTCTTTTTTTCTCGGTGGGTTTTACCAATTGTTATTTCTCACTAGTACTGCATGCTTGTCAGGGTTTATTTCTCAGAAGAGATAATGAATTTAAGTCTGTTTTCCTGTTCTGTGTACCAGGGCACATGTCTGATGGATCTAATTAGGCTAATACAAAACTCTCTAGATTATCAAATACTGTTTCATTAAGGAAATGGTATTTGAAGTCATATTTTTATTGGCTGAATTGTATTTGAAGACATAGTGGGTATGTGTTGAAGGAGAACATGAGGAGAATTCAGTATGACCAAAACTGTTTCTTGCTGTTCAAAAGCATCTGCCCAGCCTCTGGAAAGGAAAGTATGGTCTGTCACTGTGGGCAGGATTTGTGTGCTTGTAATATGACATACTGTCCATAAGCTGTGCTTTCAAGGAGGGAAAAGAAAAAATGTTTTATTAAATCACAAAATACGTAGTGTGAGGAAGTTTTTAATATCTAATGGTGCTGTCTTACAGACTCTAGTTTTGAAATAGGCTTTTCTTACTTAGACATTGAAGTGAATAGTCATAGTAAAGTTAATTTATATTTTGCACTGGCATAGAACAACTGTGATTCAATACATTCTTAAGAGAACTTCTCTGCTTTTTGTTAGTTGAAGATTTTTATGTTGAAATGGTAAATTATTTGTGATTACCAGCAAAAACTGAAATTAGCTGACAGTATAAAGTCTCTGTAACATAATGATGTGTCACTAACAGTACAATGACTGAAGGTGTGGCAGTTATTCTGCACTTTAAGGTCTGTCTGGACTAAGTAATTAGCATTAATTAAGATGTATCACTCTAGAACCAATGCTGACAGTGATTCAGCTCTAGCAGCAGATGGATCAAACAGGTTTCAATACCTTTAAGTTTTGAGAATTTTCCAGTTAGGATGCTGAACTGCACATGTGTTGTTTATTCCAGCAGTGAAACAATCTTCACCGTGGCAGTCAGAGTTGAACAACAGCTGGTCATTGTCCTGGTAGTGATAAATGCCCATCTGAAACTCCTGGGGTTTAATAGCATGAGAGGGAGATAATTACAATCAGGTATATTTTATCTGTCTCTAGTTATAAGTGCAGAAGAACCACTCATATTGTAACTTAATCAATTCTTAGAAATATCAATCAGATGTATTCACTATAATTTGATATGCTATGTAATAAATGAGCATTGTTAAAAGTAATAGAAAGAATTGTTTGTAATGCTGTGCAGAATATGACTGGAAATTTAATTTTTTGCCAAGTTAAATTAGAACATTTCCCCAAGCTTAAAGAAATTCTGAACTGAGGCCCTGCATATAAGCAATGGAGTAGAACTACATTTGTTTAAAGAGTGAATTATGTAAATGTTCATGCAACAAGAGATCTAGAAGATCAGCAAGGACTTCAAATATTCTTTCTTTTTTTTTTCCACGGTGAAATGTTTCCAAGTTAAGATGAAAATGAATACTAAAATAAGTTACTGTTCTTATGTGACTTGAAAACTATTATAGCCAGTGAGATTTGTTGAGGAATTTCAAAGAAAATATGTCTCCATTAATTAATATCTTCACGCAGCTGTACCGAAATATAACTCATTGATTGTTTGTACCCACTTCCAGTTAATTTTTTAAAGGAATTCTTAAGTAGTAGTCATATTTCCAAGAAGAGAGAGATTCTAGTCTGAATGATGGATTACAAGGCTGCATTATTTAAGGTATGCATTATCTGATATATACTTCACCAAAATACAGTATAATTGTTACCTTTTGGGTTCTTGGCTGTGTGCAGTAAGTTTCTTATATGTGTAGAGTATAAAACCATCCATATTGTGTGTACATGTGTGCATGTGTGTATGAGGGAGGTATAAATGATGGCTAATTATCATACATGGTTTCCTTCCTCTGGCTTTATGTGGCGCTCTTTTGGCATAACAAACTATAATACATAAAGGTACAGAGTTTTAAATGTAGCTCACACCACATCCTAATTAATTGTCAATGTCTTGATGGTCTTTACCAAATAGTCTGGTTGAACTGTCCTATATATGCTCTAGTAATATTGTTTTGTGTTCCTTATGCTTAAAATTTGAAGTTTGGTCATAAGCTTCCTCGTCTGGATACACTTCAACGTCAGATTTATATCAAGTGTCAAGCACAATAAGGAACTTTGTGTCTGCGATTTTTTTATCAGCTTAGAAGGGCACTGCCAGAAATTCTGCTGCATGTTGCAAAAAAGGGTTGTTGTGAAGAGAGTGAGGTTTATAAAAAAATTCCAGAGGATTACAGATATGAAATGTTGGAAGATAGATTAGGGGTACCTGGTATCACCACGAACCTACATTAGGTTCACATTTAACACAGATGCGCTGTTTTGCCATGACACCTTTGCTTACTCAGTGCAGAGGACACACTTTGTGTTACTAATTTCTGCACAAGAATAAAACAGAAGGCAATTTTCTGCACAGCTGAACTGAGAAGAAAGTCTGCATCTGAACTTGATCTTGACAGGGCTTGCATTAGTGTGCTGGGGTCTGTGCTTGTTGATTCACCTTCACTCCTCCCCCCATTCACATAAACACAGGAGGAGTACACGGGCAGTAGCTGGTGTCAACACAACACACAAGCACAATTGTAGTGATGTTAAAAATATTAAAGCAGAAAATACTCCACACTGCTGTTAGTAGACAGTGTAAGATGTGGCTGTAGGAAAGGACTGTAAGTCTGAATAGCTTTTCTTCTGAAAATGAAAAGAAGTGCTGTTTTCACTTCCAGCATAATGAGTTAGTACAGGATAATTACTTCTTAAGTTAAATATTTTTTTATATAAAGCAAGCAGTATGTACCAATATGTCAAGTGCCCTATAGAAAAGCCAGAATGGTGTACTAGGCAGCTCAGATTTCGTAATAAAATCACAGATGCTCCTATTAAGCTGGAGCCTTAATGCAGCCGAGTGTTTACTCATAGTATTGATTGCCATTTCTTTTCTCAATGACATAGCAGATAGCAGCTGATCTATTGTGAAAGCAAGGCAAGGCAGCTCATCCCTCATGAAAAAAACTACAACCACCTCAGTTTTTAGTTAAGCACCGCCCAGTTTTGCAGACAGCCACTGTGAGGTGCGCAGTGTTTGTGTCCAGCCCAAGGCCACACAGTGTCACAGTGTTCCTGGCTAAAGGAATGAGGCTGTGGCTTCCCTGAATACCTGGAGTGCAGCTGTAGCAGTACCGTGTCAAAGAACATTAAATCAAGGCGATTCCCAAGGACTGGCTGCACTTCACCTTGCTGTGCTCCATGTCAGCGTGTGCTTGGAGGTGGTGTGTTCATTTTGGACAAGTTGCATCCATTTTGTGTGAAAATGAAGCAAAAGCTTCTACTTGAAATGAAGATGGGGAAACTTAACCACAGTTTCCTCTTTCCACCTCCCATCCTCCCTTCTCGGCCATATATAGCAGCAGCTGTTGCCACTTAGGCAATGCAAATACAAGAGTGTGGTTTATCACTTTTGAAAAATAGATGGAAAAACTGGGTATATAAAAAGGGGTTTTTAGAAATAATAATAATTTCTGTTGCTGCACAGGGAGGAGTAAATGACCCCTTCCACACCGTTGCGAAATACAAATAAAGCCTGACAAACTCCACCCATTCTCTAAAAGAAGGTGCAGTTACATTGTGAAGGCTTTTGGGCCTTATGGATAGAATAATACAGATTAAAAACTGCAGCAGCATTTTGCATTTTGACTCTCCCTTGAAAGATTTGTGCTTTTGCTGCTGCAGGCCCTGCTTTACTGAGGTAGCATTTACCAGTTTTGCTTCCTTGTGTGTGGTGTGGAGGTGGCAGAGGAAACTGGATGTTGCAATGAGCTGGGCTGTCCCTCCTCTTGTTTCAGCCCAGGAGCACACCTTGTTAGCCCAGCATTCCTGTTTCCTGGCCCGTCAGAGCAGCAGTGCAGTACCAGACCTGACCAGTGTTTGTAGCACTGTCCATTTGGGAATGCCTCTGGCACAGTGGGGAAAGGGCCAGGAGACAGAGAGAAGCCTCCTTTCTATCCCATACCAGTGCTGAATTCCCAGAGGTGCTCCCAGCTCATTGCTGGAGCCAGTCCACTCCCCTCCAGCTGCTGTGGGGCAGGAATCTGGAATAAGTAGTGGACACTTGCAAACTGAGTTTTATGAAAGGTGTCAGATTACTTGCATAACCTGGTTCGTTTATACAACCTCTATAAGGTCCAGTATTTGTCAAACCCTAAAGATGTGACCTTTAAGTCCTCAGATAAGCAAGCTTTTCCCATTTATTCTCTTTATTTTCCTACAGTCAATTGCTTCAGCAGACATGGATTTGAATCAGCTGGAAGCTTTCCTCACTGCCCAAACAAAAAAACAAGGTGGCATCACATCAGATCAGGCTGCAGTCATTGCAAAATTTTGGAAGAACCACCGGACTCAAATCCACGAGAGCCTGATCAATCAGAGCCGCTGGGATAATGTCTTGAAAAACATGAACTGGCGAGTGGACCTGAAGTCACAGCTGAGGCACATTGATCAGATAAACACTCCTGTTGCAATAGTTGAAATGGAGCTGGGAAAAAATGGGCAGGTAGGCTTTTTTTGCAAAATATGTAAACCTGATGTAGCTACATATGCACTGAGGCATGTTACCTATTGCTGAATTCTCTGCGTCCAGATCAAGCCAGTTGATTCATCACCGCTGGTCTTTTCATGGACTTGAAATTGGGGTCCATCTTTGGATACAAAGAAGCATTCTGGCTAGTGAATGCAATTTTTGCTTTTTTTTTTTTTTCTTATCTTCATATACATATTGACTGCTCTCTTTACATTAAGCTTGAAAAATCAGAGGATGTAGCAATCAAACTTGATCTTATAATTCCATTTGTATACCATGCACTGCAAATTCAGTCAGTCTTCTTTTGTTTTAATTCAACATTAAAATTAGTTAAAATATGCAAGGTGGGTTCACAAAGAATGAAGTAAAGAGTAAAGTTCACAAACTACATTTTAGAACAAATGAAGGGAAAGATTCCTTTTTATTTTGCATAAACCCATTCTTATGTTAGAAATACATCCTTATTACCTGTCACTTTATGCAATCTGGCCTTATCTGTCTGAAAGATATCTATATATAGCTCTATCAGTGCTGAACTCTCTGCCTTCCTTTTTTGGTCTTTATAGTCCATAGGAATGTATAGCTAAACGCACAGCTTCCCATCTTTGCACTTACTGTTGTTTTCTAACAGGAAATGTGTTTCAATTTGGTATCTTTTCTCTCTGCAATGTTTTAGTACATTTTAAAACCTCATTTCTTAGCAGTAGCTACTGTAAATCATGCCATGAGCTGATTTGGGCATTTTGATGGTAATAAATAAAGTTTAGCAAGGTTCTTTGTATTTCATAGTATTTTAATAGCAGGAGTACCTGAATTAGATATACCTCAATCCATATATATGTGCACACACCTGGAATATACCAGTACATAGGAGTGATTGAATTCCAGCTGTGTGGCTAAGCCAAGACCAGGGTGAACATACATGTAAGCTGAGATCCTACAGAGACAGAAGGGATTGTTGGAGTCATTCTGTTAGTTCACTTTCCTTTGCAGTCAGTGAGAGCTGATCTTGCCTGAGCCTTCCACTCATGGATCTCTGCAGTGACAAAGACAATAATGGTATGTGGCTTCAGGTTGTTTCCTAACCTCAAAGAAATGGAGTTTTGTGCTCAGAATCTTGAGATTGAAAATGATTGTGTTCTATTAGTAGCAAATAGAAAAAAAGGTTGCTTTGAATAAAAAGTTACAGAGAGTACATTATAATGAGTACATTGAGTACATTAGTGAGCAAATGAGAGAAATACCTACATTCATTAAAAAATGCATCCTTAACTCAGAATCACTGTTGTATTTCATAAGGGGATTATGTAGTTAGTGACTCCTGTTTTGAAACTGTTTTTTCCCCCAGTAATGGATTTTTACGGTAGCATCAAGCAGCAAGGACATTTATATTTCTTTCACCCCCTGCAGAGAGAGTCAGGGGAAGTGAACATGGAGCAAGAATACACATTTCTGAGACACTGTAATGTCTCTTACAGAAGAGCTCCACAAGCAAATCAAAATGAATTCTTTTAGCAATGCCCCTTCATGCTGCAAAAGGAAATGGTTGTGTAAATGCATTTTTGGAACTGCTATCAAACACAATTTTGCCTCCTTCCCTGAGAGCAGCAGTGAGCTGTGGCAAGCCTGACACTTGGTTTGAGTTAAACTGTTACTGGAACAACCGTGGAGTAATTAGCATTGTCACCACTTGAGTCAATTTACATTTATTCTAAGCAGCTCTGGTTTCACATAGCTTTTAGCTGTGGATTAAATAAGTTCTCCGTTGTAAATCTTTGGGTTCAGGCACTCTGCATCAGGCTGCATGCTCCTTTGATGGGATGAGTTTTAGGAAACCACAGGGGTTTGGGGACCTCCTGGGAAGATTGGTCACGGAAACTCCTGTTAGAGGTTGAACGAGTTGTTGCACACTGGATCCAGCCCACTAACTTGAAACTGTCGTGTTTTATAGTCTTTATCAGTATTTTCACTTTATTGTTAGTACATGTCTTCTAAATACCAAGTTTTGTACCTGTCTTAAGTTTAGCAGAGAACATGTTTTCTAAAAAGTTGTCAGCCATAGGTGGGATTTGATGAATAATGAAGATCTGACTTTGAAGCAGAAAGCTGGCTGATGATTCAGGAGTAAATTATTCACAATGGACTATTTTCATTTGGACACACGATAACAGGGTAATATACAAATGCGTTGATATGTAATGAATTGACATGAATGTTTCATGGTTCAACAGAAGCAAAGAAATGCTCTGTAGAAAATGCACTTTTCCAGAAGTCACTCTGATTCTTCTCAGTGTCTCTGGGTTGGATTTAGATCTCTGCCCAGCAGAAGGCCAGGCTGCTTCGTGGAGCATCTGTTGCTTCTGCTACAATAAAAAACTTTGCTTCCTGCTTGCCTTCCGAATTTTAGTTAGCTCTTTCATGAGGGGAAGACTGTGTGTGAGACCTGATGTAGTTGGGAATGGGGTGTTGGAAGTGACTGGTTCATAATTAATTTACATGAATTTTGTCAAATTTTGTAAATGTTTTCTGACTGGAGAGAGGTGTTTCTGGGTTTGAGAATCCATCACAACTTGCGTGCATTAATTCTTGCTAGCTTTGCCATTACTGATAAGAGAAAAAAATGAACCCTTTTCCCTAAATGCTCTTAAAAATACTTCTAATGAGGAACATTTGAAAATACCATGAAAAATTGAAAATTTGATTTAGCATCTGTAAATTGGAGTTTGAACTCTTCTTCAGTAAAGATTTTACAACATTAAAAGTTTCCTTTATGCTGATGTTGTAGTCATTATAGATGCTGATTAAAGGCAGATGAACATGCTAGCCATAGCTTTGAAAGCCCATTTTCTTTAACAATATGACTAAAAATAAAACTATAAAGCAGTTGCGCTTCAGGCTGCATTTGCCTTCATCTTACGATATTTAGTGCTCATCACAGCTGGTTCATTTTTGCCATTTGAACAGCCCATCTTTTCTTTGGCACAATGGTTTTATCTGCTTGTGTTTTTAATCTACCTCACTGGTTTTCTCTTAAAACATCTCTACCTGCCCTCTTCTTTATGTTTTTTTTTACCTTTTTCTCCCTCTCTGAGCATGTCTGTAAAGCTCTTTTGGCATGAAATTTCAGCCAGACATGAATCTGCTTAGACGGATGGGAGAGTGAGCTGGAGTATCCTCCTTCTCATGCCCTTCCTGCCCCTCTGTACCAGCACTACTCCAGATGGTGGGCTGCCGCTGCTGTGCAATGTTGGCTTACTTGCACATTTCAGTCCCAAATTTATACCTGACCTTGCCATTGATAGAGAATTAATGCATTGCTTTTGCACCGTGGCTTGGCACTAAGATTATATTTAAACTTGTTTTCTGGACTTCGTCATGTCATTTTCCTCATGAGATGTGCCTCTCCCCTGAAGCTGTGGTCTTCCTGTGGGCTGATTTGCCAATAAGTTTTACTTTCTTTATATAAATATATATAAAGATATGGCATTACATATTTTGCAGTTTAATGCCTGAGACTGATCAGATATCATAAATTAGCTGAGAATTTTGTTCTTGGCTTTATTGCTTTAACTTATTTACAGAATGGGTATTTCTACATACATTTCAATGTTTAAGATACCAGTAATCCATGTAATGTCACTTCTGCTGGGGCTTTATTGGATCTTAAAGCATGTTTTATGATCAAAGAGTATTTTCTGCCCTAGTTTAACATGAAGCTGGGATTCTACCACAGTATTGTTCCCAGAAAGACCTGAGATAATCACATCAGGATTATGGATTAAAGGTTTTTTTTCCCAAAATACTGTATCGCTCTTCTCCTTCCTTTTCTAAAAGCATCTACATGACAGAAGTGTCATAGCAGTTAATGATGTACTAGGTAGGTAAATAGCACAATGTAGCAAATACCAAAAGCTACATATAAGGTAAGAAATTAGGGTCATGTCAGTCAAAGTTAAGGGCAAACAGCAGTCTTTCATTCCATATACTTCTTCTGGTCTGAAATCACCGGGGATATATATCTTCATCAAAAACAAGTATTTTTCCTTAAAGAACAGGCAGACATTAGCAACAGCCTTTTCAGTGAAATTCTAATACTGGTACTAGTACTTATGATTATATTTTGATTGTCACTTCAAACTCTCCCCAGTGAGTTAAAATACTTTCTGATGAAAGGACTTAATAGGTGAAGTGCACCTTTGCCAGTGCAACAGCATACTTGATGCTGAAAAAGTAGGAACTGTCAGCTGGCAGTTTACCTACTGTCTGCTAGTGGCTGGGTCCAGACCCTGGTAATTCAGAGAAAATAATACTACTACTGATAATTCAGGTAATAATTCTATTAGTTCATTGTATTGGTTTGAAAGTAAAACCAGTGCGAGACTCCAAGTCAGTAATACAATTTAATAGGAGAAAAGAGAAAAAATAAAATACATGCAATAATATAAAAGAAACAACCACCAACACAGTCAGAAATACAACCTGACACCCTGTCAGTCAGGGTGTTGGTAGCAGTCCGTATAAATGGTGGCTGCAGTCCTCCTGGATGACAGATGTGATTCAGTTGAAGCAGTGCTCCTGTAGAAGGTGCAGTTTTCCTCCGAAGATCCAGCGATGATGTGGAAATGATCCGACTTTCCTCTGGGATCCAGTGGAAAGGTCTGCCTTTGCGTCCCAAACCCCAGTTTTTTTATCTAGGTAGGAAAGGCTTGGCTCCTGCCCCTGGCTGGGGCATCTCCCAATGGGATGATGTAATCTTATCAGTCACACAATAGGACTTAATGGCCCATTAACGGAATATATCTTCTGGAGGAAGGATGGGTTGTGAATAGATAACGATGATCATCCCCCTGATCTTATCAGATGGCACATCAGCAGAGGATATCTCCCACAGAGATAAGGATGACCACCCGTCCCACATTTTAACAGATGGTGATAGAATACACATTTTTGCATTGTACCCCAGGACATTCATG